TTTTTTTTTTGGGGTCTAAGTCTGGGAAATTCATACTTCATCCTCATAACGTTCATGTTCCTTGTGCTACATAGAAGATCTGTCAACCCTCTGAGTTTTATAGTAATCTAGGTCTCAATCTACCTTACATCATGGATATGTTTGAGTTTAACATGTATGTCTTTGTTCAGGTAACTGGCCAAATTATGTTGAGTTCTCCTTTTTAGATAACCACTAATTGTTGGCTGAATTAATTTATTCTTTTGGTTCAACATCTAAGGCTTTTTATTAGATAATAGGTTGATTGTTGTTAACTTTCTCTTAGTTCACTCATCAGTAGTTGGCTGAATATTTGCATGTTTATGTTTGTGGAATGAATATTTTGCCCTCCTTGTAATGTTATTATTTAATACAGAAGATAGTTGTGCTTTGGCTGATTCTGTTCTCACTTCCATTTGTTCTCTCTAATTTGTTGAGGGTCCCTCATGCTTCTGAATCTCCAGGTCCTAACTTGAGTGGCCTTTTTGGAAGGCAATCTGGCACTACCCCTGGTTATTCGTACTCTGCTGCCAACAAGAACATGGCTGTAACCTGGGGAGAGAATACTCTTTATGATTATTTGCTTAATCCTAAGAAGGTCAGTGGACATCTAAGTGTTTATTTAATTCCATTAGTTGTCTAAAATGAGAGTTGCAACAAATATTTTCTTGAAGCTATTCACACTTTCTTTTTATTTCAAAGATTGATATTTACTTTGAATCAGTGAATTTTGATTCCCTGGTAAACGACTTACGGTTTTATTTGGATTTCAGCCAGATTTATCATTTTATGATTGGCACATAATTGGAGTCATTTCCTCAACTTTAGCATATGTATATAATTTTCTGAACGCATTCTCTAGATATGGTGTAATACTGTTTTTGAGAATTACAGTTTCCCGAGTTCTATTTCATTAATGTTAGCAAAAATATATTTTGTTTAGTCTTGAATGAGAAGTATCTAAATTACATTTTCTTCATTTTGAATATGACATCTGTTCTCCAGTACGAGGATGTCTAATTTCCTAAATTTGGCAAAAGGTGGGGTTAGCTTTAGAACTTGATATGAGTGCACCTTGCTTGTAAATGCTTGAGAAAATATTTTCTATGATATTGACAATGCACTCGATTACATTACATAATTTGCACAGTATTCTCATATTCACAAGGATTTTATTATTAGTCGTCTGCGATAAAATTATCTAAACAGGATCTTTCTTTAACCAGTTACAGATCATGAGCAATTTTTTCTAAATCAGGCAGCTAGGAACATAAAATACTAAAGAATGTTTATAAAAAGTAACCATAAGATTTAATTCTGAAACTGCAATATTCTACTTTAAAAACCAAAACATGAAATGATGAAATCACAAATGCAGATCAAAGAAAATTTTAAGTACATATAATGATGAAATTAGGATTATGAAAATTAGTTGGACTAACTTTGCAAATTGCAAAACTTGAATAAACATCCAAAGATGAATTCATCCTAATGAAATATGATTTGTAAATTGCAGTTTTGACTATTAGTTTATATGAAATGCAATTACATACTACACGGAGTGATTTTTATTGTTTATGGAGACTTAATGTGGAACTTTGTGTACAGTTGTATAAATTATAACGTCTGAAAATATGGACATGAAGTGTAATTACACCTTGGATATGGGGGAGTGTTTTTAATTTTGCATGTGTATTAATTTCCAATGTTGAGTTTTAAACCTGTTTATGACATCCGGTTATTTCTTATCTTTTTCTTCTCTATCGTTGAATTTTGGGAAAGGGTGCACCAGGGAGGTGAAAATGCTAAATTGAATGAATTTAAAATCCATTCTGAAGTCCAAACTCAACCTATTTAAAATAAAATCCTAGAGGATCTTCATATGCATAGTTACGCTAGGCACATAAATAAGACTTGATCAAAAAGTGTGTTGACTTCAAATGCAAGTTCCAAGATAGTTGGGGCTTGTTTTGCATAGACTAAAAGAAATTGTTATCTCGTCAGTGGTGCAACAGCATTGCATTGAACATATTATATGGGGGATAAGCAGACAGAGTAATATTGGTTTTAATGACCTTTTCACTGTAGATGAAGCATTGGACTGATGAATTGATGAAAAAAAACTGTTTAGTTTGGTCGATACTAAGTTTAAGGAATAAGGTTTGGATTGAATGACTTTCTTGTTTCTTTGTTTTCCTTTCTTGGTATCTTAGGTCATATGTTTGTAAGATACCTTCTACTTTTTCGCCATATAATATTAAATGCATATATTGCAAAAAGTAGTAGAGGGATTGTTGATCTTCCCATGATATATACGTTGTTGGATATAAGTTTTGTGTTCGAGTATTTATGCACGTGTGTTGTTCTTAACATAGAAATTGTCTCCCTTGTATCGTTTACATGATGTTTGTCTTCCTCTATTTTGCGAGCAACATTAATCCCATTCTGGTGTTTTGAGTATTGTTATCGTAGAAATAATGCTTGCTTAATTTTGAAATGGATATTTTTGGGCACAGTACATTCCTGGAACTAAGATGGTTTTTCCTGGACTGAAGAAGCCTCAAGAGCGTGCAGATCTAATAGCCTATCTCAAGGAGGCAACTGCTTGAAGCTTCTAGCTTAATTATTTCTTATGAAACACGGGGAGATTGGTGTCATTTGGGAAATTTTTGCTAAAGGAATTGCAAGTCTATTGAATAAGAGCATCACAGTTATGCACTGTGCTATTTATTTGGTTGAGCTTTTAGGCCAACAATGGAAGATTTTGTTGTGCCTACGGCTCGTGATTTTTTGAACTGATACATAGATAGCGATTTTTGCAAATTCATTTTAATTTCTCTATAATTTTTCATCAGTTATTTACAGTTCACGGTGACTTAAATATCAGTAAACGTTCCGTATGTAAGTATACGACTGGAAGGAAAAAACACGACGGATTTAACACCAGCTCATAGAATGCGGTCGCCAATGAACACACTGCAGCTCGTTTGCCCCAATTTGGCATTGCTAAAATATTTTTATATTAAAATCAATGTTAAATTCATCGATTAATTTTAACATATGCTATTGGACCCACAACTTTCAAATCACAAATTCAATGAGCTTTTATTAAAATGTGTTAAAGATCTGATATTAATTTCTTCCAAACAGGGCTTAAAATCACCCGTCCGGTTCCTTGTCGGCAAGGCCATTTTATTAGTGGGGTGCTTTTAAGTTAGCCTCCGCTTGGATACAAATTTGTAAAAGATTCATGAATTAGTTAAAATTAAATGGGGAAATTTGGCCCAATGACCTAACTTAACAATTTATTTGGTAAAATGGCCTTTGATCAATAATAAAAACAAATAGAAAAATGTAAAATATTTTAGTCGACAAAATAACAAAATTTTTCTTTAGTTTTTCTCATTTGATCCTATCATTTCTCCTTCTAATTCACTTTAAAACTCTATTTCTTTTTTTTTATAAAAATAACGGCTTCTTCCTCCCATTTTTATCTTCTTCAATTTTAGGTCTTCGAAATTATAATCACATATTTTCTTCTCTTCAATAATCATTTACCCGTCCGGTTCCTTGTCGGCAAGGCCATTTTATTAGTGGGGTGCTTTTAAGTTAGCCTCCGCTTGGATACAAATTTGTAAAAGATTCATGAATTAGTTAAAATTAAATGGGGAAATTTGGCCCAATGACCTAACTTAACAATTTATTTGGTTAAATGGCCTTTGATCAATAATAAAAACAAATAGAAAAATGTAAAATATTTTAGTCGGCAAAATAACAAAATTCTTCTTTAGTTTTTCTCATTTGATCCTGTCATTTCTCCTTCTAATTCACTTTAAAACTCTAATTTTTTTTTTTTTTTAAAATAACGGCTTCTTCCTCCCATTTTTATCTTCTTCAATTTTAGGTCTTCGAAATTATAATCACATATTTTCTTCTCTTCAATAATCATTTATTGCTACACTAAAATTATGTTTTTTATTATATTCTTCACTTATTTTGGGTATCTTTTGAGTGAAGAAAGATGCTTTTAGAAATCACATGTATGTTATATTTTTATTATTAAACAATATTTAGTTCGCATTGTTTTCGTATTCAGTGTGTTTTTTGTTTTATATGCAACCCTTGGATGTAATAACACTTCAACTGCTATACGAAATATAGAACACTACTCCAATCGTTATCTGTAAAGTAAAACGATACTATATTCGTTATCTGCTGTAGTATGATTTTTTCAATAAAATGACCTCTAATAATGGATTTGCTAGCGTATATAATACAAAAAAATTGACTAGTCACAAAGAACAATTGAAATGACATATTTTCTATTATTGAGATTGTAAAAGCACAGCCATCACACTCATATGTGTCGATTAAGTTAATAAACATATTTATCAACTTTTGTACGTGTCATGTACATATTACAATATAAATAAGTTTCACTTATTATTTTTAGGGAACATACGGACTGTAACTATTTATACTTGTATTTATACACATAATAGCAAAAGCATCTTTTTCATGTCCACAGTAACGACAAATGTGTCGTTCCAAAAGTTTCATCTATATCCGATTTTTGCAACAAACCAACATTCAATATTGAACTCCCTAACGTATGTTATTGACATGAACATGTTTATGCTTCGTTAGAGGGTTGAATGAATGAAATCATTGTGCTGAAATAAAATCAAAATATAAGAGAAATCAATAGAACGGCACAAGAGCCATTACTGAAATGAAAATGACACTTGTGTCGCTATTAAGATGAGAACATCTATAAAAACTTTACAGCTATCATTATGCTTGTAAATATACTTGTCTATGAAAATGACACTTATGTCATTGTTGAGATGAAAAGTCTCTGAGAACGGTATTAGCTCGGTTATTGGAATTAAAAGTTCTAAGAGGACGGCATACGTGATGTAACCAAAATATAAACTTCTATTATTATTGTGAGAACAATACAATTTAAGGTGTTCAATTCTAAAGGTCGTAATTTTGGAAACAAACGAAAATAAAGGAGAAATCAATAGAACAGCTCAAGTGTCGTTGCTGTTAATAAAACGACGGTTATGCCATTTTATCTATAATTACAAGTTTAAGCAACCACGACCGTCCTTGAGTCAAGAAATAATAAGTTGAATTCAATTAAGCTGCAAGGTGGACATAATATTTAAAAAAATTAAAAGACATGCTCATTACTTTTATTTTTTTGAAAATAATAAATCACTTGTATTTTCAACAACTTTATATCAAATAATTTACATCATTTCAATCGTTCTTTGTCACATGATTTATTTTTATTGCGTACTTTATAGATCCAATACTTGAGGATGAAAGATCATTGAGAATGACACTTGTGTTGTTATTGAAATGAAAAGTTCTAACAAAACGGAACAAGTGCCTCTTAGAGGATGAAAAGGTCATTAAAAACAATACTTCTGCCCTACTGAGATGAAAAGTTCTAAAAGAACGATACAAGTGCTGTTATTGAAATATAATTTCTCCATTAGAACGGCACTTTGTGCAGTTACTGTAAAGGAAACGATACTTGTGTCGTTCTATCTATAAACACGAGTATAGATAACCTCGAAACTCATTTCAACTGCTAGATGAATATGTCGTTTACAAAAATTTAGAAATGTGCTCATTAATTATATTTTCTACGAATCACTACAATGACTTATGATTTCACTAACTCGATATCGTATAACTTATGTCAATTCAACCGTTTTTTGTCATGTAATCAATATTTCCAACTTTCTTAAGTTAGGGGATCCATGTTTGAGGTCACTGCGTTGGAAAATAAGGAAAATATTTGAGAAATCAACAGAATGACACAAGAGCTGTTAAATGACATTTGTGTCGTTCTGTCTATAAACACGAGTATACATAGCCACGACCTATCCATGCTCCGAGAATAAAAAGTTGAACTCATTTCAATTGCAATATGAACATTCCGTTTACAAAAGTTGAAAGATGTGCTCACTGATTATATTTTCTAGCAAATCAATACAATAATCTATAATTTCACCAATTTAATGTCGTATAATCTATGTCAATTCAATCGTTTTTTGTCTTATGATCAACCTTTCTAACTTTCTTAAACATGTAGCAAAATATTTGAGAAATCAACATAACAACACAAGAGCTATTAAACGACACTTATGTCGTTTTGTCTATAAACACGAGTATACGTAGCCAAGACTCATCCATGTCTCGAGAATCAATAAGTTGCACTCATTTCAATTACAATATGAACATTCTATTTACAAGAGTTGAGAGATGTGCTCATTGATTATAATTTCTAGCGAATCAATACAATGACTTGTAATTTCACCAACTCAATGTCGTATAGTCTATGTCAATTCAACCCTTTTTCTTTATCTTATGATTAACCTTTTTAACTTTCTTAAGTTAGGAGATCTAATATTTGAGGTTGCTATGTTGGAAAAGAAGCAATATATTTGAGAAATCAACAGAACGACACAATAACTGTTAAACGCTACTTGTGTCGTTTTTCTATAAAAAAGAGTATACATAGCCACGACTCATCCATGCTTAGAAAACCAATAAGTTAAACTCATTTAGGTTGTAAGATGGATACGATATTTACAGAAGTTGGGAGATATGCTCATCAATTATATTATAGTGAACTAGTAGAATAGCTCAAGTTTTTATCAACTCAATATCATATGATCCAATCATTTAACTCATTCTTTGTCACGTGATTGACTTTTCTATCTTATGCACGTTAATGGGTCCAATGCTTGAGGTCTTGAGTGAAAAATAAATCAAAATATAGAAGAAATTAACAAAATGGCATAAGTGCCATTACTAAGAAGAAAACGACCCATAGGTCGTTCTGTTTGTAAACACGATTATAAAATGGTTATGTCCTGTTCACGACTCTGAGAACCAATAAGTTGAATTCATTTAGATTTTAAGATGAACATAATATTTACAAAAGTCGAGAGATATGCTTATTATTTATATTTTAATTAACCAATAGAATAACTTATGATTTCACCAACTCGATATCACATGATCTATGCCATTTCAATCGTTCTTTATCATGTGAATAACCTTTTCATTTTACTTACGTTAGGGGATCCAATGCGTGATGTCTTTGCCTTAAAAATAAATCAAAATATTGGAGAATTCAACGGAAAGACATAAGTTCCTTTATTGAGAAGAAAACAACCCTTGTATCGTTCTATTTGTAAACACGAATACAAACAGTCGCGCCCCATTCGTGTCTCAATAAATAATAAGTGAAACTTGTTTACATTGTAATATGCACATGAAATGTACAAAACTTAGAAAATATGTTCATTAACTTAATCGACTCATATGACTTGTGCTTTCACCATTTCGATAATATAAAAGTTATGTCATCTTAATTGTTATTTATGATATTGTCAACATTTCTATGTTACATACATTATGAAGTCCGTTATTAGAGATTATTTAATTGAAAAAGATTAAATATAGGTAAAAATTTTTGAACAGTACAAGTGTCGCATGAAAACGACACATGTGCTGTTACATGTGTAAATATGACTGTAAGTAGTCATGATCCATATGTGTCCCTAAAAAATAATAAGTTGTATTTATTTATGGTGTGATATGCACATGACATGTACAAAAGTTGATAGATATGTTCATTAATTTAATCAACTTGTGATTTCACCATCTCGATAATATAAAAGTTATGTCATTTTAATATTTCTTTGTAACATGATCAATTTTTCCGAGTTACTCACGTCAGTAGTCAATTATTAGAGATTGTTTCGTTGAAAAAAATTAAATCACAGTAGATAACGACTGTAGTGCCGTTTTACGCAGCGAAAAACGATTGGAGTAACATTTTATATTTCGGATAACAGTTGGAGTGTCATTACCATCCAATAGTTGAGAAAATGCAAAAAAAAAAAAATAATAATAATAATAAAATACTAAGTATAAAAACAACACCAACTTAAATATTATTCAATAATAAACATACAATTTATATAAGATTTCTAAAATTATCTTTCTTTTTCTTCAAATCTAAATGGAATCTTTCAAACTAGATGATAAATGTTTAAAAGATATCCAAATAGGTGAAGAATATAATGAAAAATAGGATTTTAGAGTAACAAGAATGGTTGAAGAGAAGAAATCGGGTTACCGTGATTTTGGGGACCAAAATTGAATTGAGAAATTTAATTGGATTGATAAGGGAGTTAATGTCTTTTCCAATAATGAGCGTGTTTATGATATTCGACATTATTTGTTTATTGTGCTTAATAGTTGAATATTATTTGTTCAAAAAAATTGAAAGGAAGTTATTTAATCAATAACATTGTTTGACTAAACTCTAACAAATTCCCCATATTCATAACTATTATCTACTATAATTTACACATTGTGAGATCTATTACAATTTCTTTTATTATATTTATATAAAAATTATTTTTGAGTTTACCAAATGGAGGCTTATTCCCGATTTCCTTGGTTTCAAGTGGCATTACAAAAAGAGTAATATATCCGCGTTTCCACTGGTAGTTTATATATATTGACTGAAATAGGCGTTTCACCATCTGAGGAAAGACAAGTGTGTGACTGTGTGTATTGTCGAGATGTTATGTAACAACTCCAGAAATGTAATGCAAATAGAATCTGCCAACAAGGCAGCTCCAAAACCATCATGAACACATGCCCCATGTATCAAGTCGGCCTTTAGCCCCTATATATGTATATATTCATGTTTCTAGCTGATTTCTACAAAATTCTATCGAGTGTTCAACATAACATGTTCTTTTACGTAAGATTCCTGTGTAGGGAGGAAAGTTCTCTTAACCCGAGTGAAGAAACCGGTTGTTCCCTTATCTGAGATAGAAGGATGGAAACTTGCTCAGTTGCCATATCTAGGCGTTCTTTTGACTTTGCAGATTCTGTTACGAGAGTCGATACCATACTCTGAAATAATTGAATCCTTTCTGCATGGTCATTTGGAGCCATCTGATGAAGTTTTGTGGACAACATATTGATTCTACGCCAACGCAGGGGCAAATACCTTTCTGGGATTTGGAAGCAATTACCAGTTGAAAGAACTCGAAGAGCATGCCTACAGAGGATTCCAGAGAACTCAAACTGGTGGCAACTGCAACTAATGATGCCTTCCCGTGGGACCCAATAAACTTTTCGACCTCCCTCGAGTTTCGTGTGGTGTCTGATGAGGAAACCATCTTCGATCTGAAATGATGCGTAGTGAGCGGCCATAACGAGTTGGTCTTGGAGCTTCGAGAATGCATAAGGCGTGAGAACAGCAGCTGCATGGGACTCCATGGGAGCCCCTGTTTTCAGGGAAATGTTTTGGAGATTCTGCTGCATTGTTTGTTGTTCTCCAGTTTGATCCTTAAAATCCACAGCAACGGCTACCTGATTGTAAAGCAATGTCAAACAGCAGCAAGAAAATAAATTTATTATCGCTAACCTCTAGTAAACCTAGTTGGCAAAAATCTAGTTTTTATGTTATGTTACAGAGTTTCTTGCTAACAAGATGATAAGAAATGAAGAAGAAACTACTAAAAATTTAAATTCTCAATAAAATTCTATTTGAAAGGCTGATTAGAAGATTATTCGTTGTTTCACTAACAGTCCAATAGCATTCTCAGAAATAGATTTTGTGGAATCATAATTTCTCCTTGTATTTCAACTTATGGAGTATTCAATCCAAAACTAAAGAGTTACAAAATTTAAACCAGCAATTTGGAAAAGAATTTATCGTAATAATAAGAACAAATGACCGTTGCCTCTGTTATTAGAGCCAAACTTTGTCTTATATCCTCTAAAGCTATTTGGATACCTAGAGCAGAATTTTAATAACTTAAATATCAATCACGTTGCACACTTCGGATCATTTTCACGACCCCAAGAAAATGGTTACCAAAAAAAGGCATTCCACATTAGCTTTTCTATTAAGCCTATTCAAGTCAATTAAACACCACAAATTTCAACTCCTATAAAAGATCAGTAGTTATTTATCCTACCAAATAAAATCATACAAAAGCAAAGACTGTTTACCGGTGCAAGAAAAATATGTTATTAAACTCTCTCGTTACTAGGTGAGATCCAAAATATACAATGAAATTGAAAGTAATACCATTCATTGACAAGAATCGGTGCAAATTTTACTAATGCCATCTCTGATCTAGAAGCAGATTTATTTCCAGAAATTCACTCTGTACATTAGATGAAAGGGAGACATCAATAGCCATCCAGTGCATGGTTGGTACGAGCAATAAAAGTGAAAAAGCCAGAGTTGTTTAAGATCCCCAATGTACTCCATTAACTCATGTGAAAATACGTCGAGTGATATAGACAAAGAAAGATAATCTTACCCTCCAACATATAACAAAATGGTTTGGATACCATAAAAGAGGATACTATTCTATCTAGACAAAACTCCACGTAAAGGATATTAGCCTTTTAGGTCATCCAACAATATAATACTCATATATAGTCAACCAACAACACACATCCTAATGAGATATGGCAAACAAATATAATATCACCATATAGCTTGAGAAAAGAGAACATACTTGTTCCAAGAAATGTGTGAGACGGGTTTGCGAACTCAAAAATCGTTGAATAAAAGCATTAATTGACTTCGAGAGGCCAGGTGTGGTCATTCCTGCGAAAAAATGGCTTCTCAAGTATGGCAATGCCCAAAATGATCTTAATGCATACAGACTAGCTATATGCCTGTTTGAATGCAAACCAAAAGAATTCACCATATCTCTCCAGCCCAATTCAAAATCACCAATTGCTTCTAGATTGTATAGACGATAAAACTCAGCCTTCCAAGCATTGTATTGTTCTCCCAGAACAGCATTAAACCAAGAAGGAAATTTTGCTACTATAAGCCATATGCAAAGAGCATGTCTGGTAGTTGGCAGCTCCATTCCTATTGCTTCTTTCAGACACATATTTTGGTCTGTTAATATTGTTTGAGGAGCTTTCCCGTTCATAAATCCCAAGAAAGCCTTCACATTCAAATGATGAAAAAAAAATAAAAATTAGCAAACAATTTCTAATAGAAGAGATACAGATTAAGTAAATGTCTGCATATTTAACCTCTGCGGAGCAATAAAACTGACTTCCTCGGAGTCCCTTTTCTTTCAATATGTTGATTTTCCTAATTCAGTTTTTGTTTTTATTTTTATTTTTATTTTTATTTTGTATTTGGGGGTGATTCAGATCTACCGCCAACGATAAGAATCTGCACCAATTCAAATAGTGTAAAATGTGTGCCATGTGAAATTATATCACCAATAAAGAAGAGGTACCCCATTTTCATTTTTTGATAATTTGGTTACAGCAAATGGGGGGTAAACTTCATGCCCACTAGAGTGCATAGCTGAGATGTTCAGATAAAAATACTGCAAGAACCCATAAGTTCTTGGATGGTCTGTATGAGGATTTGCCATCCAAGACAAGCAAATAATTGGCTACCAACGACAAAACCATGAACCCAGTGATTCACACTAACAAGAATGTACATATCCATTTTGACACATAATCGGTCACTTTTTTCTTGGCAACCTCCCCCAGTCCAAAGGAAAGAAAAACACACAAGTTATTCGGGAAAAAATTAAATGGCAGTTACAGGGATAGTATGGAATGAGAATTAGAAGCATAAAAACGTTATATTTGTCACTTCATTACCTTCAAAGCCCATGAGAAGGACCTCAAATTTTCCTCTCGTACAAGCACGCAACCGAAAAAGCATGGCACGCCATAATTGTTTATTCCAACCCATATTCCAAGAGGCATGTCAAAAGCAGTCAACCGATGTGTAGTATCAAACACCACAGAATCGCCAAAAATCTCATATGACTGAACAGATGAGGCATATGACCAAGATATATTCTCCAATTTGCCATTGGAATCAAGAGTAAACTCAAATTTAAAATTGGGATCTTTATCTTTAATGTTTCTGCACATCCTTAGTAAATCTATGCTCTCATCCTCGAGATCCACTTTCCTAAAAGATTGAAGCAAATTTCGGACATCCTTCTCTGTGAACGGCAAATATCCTGGCTCTACGCACTTTTCAAGTTCCAGCAGCCTCATCATCTGTTGCACAGAAATTCCAGTCTTGGCAAACAAGAGGATACGGTTCTTGTCAGATTCTGTTATGGTGCGATATGCAGGAAGAAAGCGCACCTGATTTGGCTCTAGGAGTTCATGATTATGGTGGTTTGCAAAGCCCGTAACACGCCATTCAGGTACTCCTAATTCAGTTGACTTGGTTATACGCATATATGCTTGACATCCACACCTTGAAGATTTTCTGTTTCTTTGGGGCTTGTTTTCATTTGAGGTTTTAACAGGAGTATTACCAGCTCGGTGGCAGACAAAGTAACGCCTCGTGAGACCTTTCCCAACACCATCTTTACCTTCCGTGCGATGACGCCGAATCGAAAACCCACACCTTTTTGCAAATTCACTGTAAAACTCATAAGCAGCATCATGAGTTACAAATCTTTGCCCAATGTATGGAATAGCATCGTTTGTTGTTTCTAAGGACAGTCTTGTTTCATCTGGCGATTCCTCGGCGCTGCTTGTATCTTCCAAAGATAAGGATCTTTGATCCGAGGGATCATCATATACCAGCATCATATGTGCAGCCTCTTCAGACATTGTAGTCTTCTCAAACCTCAATTGATGTAGATCATAGGCCTTAAATCATCATTAAGTGGAAACTGGGAAAAAGGGAGGGGGAAATTTTGTCAACTCCTATGACCAGAACAAAGGAAGTAAATGCACTGCTTTCAAAAACGAAAACAACAAAAGCAAGAGCATATTTATCTCGACAATGGGTTAACTTCCTGGGTTAAATAGAAAATTTCATGAGGTGGCATAATGATCAGTTACACTTAGGCCTTAGCTAGTTCAAACACTGCACTTTCTATCTATATATAAAGGAAAAAGAATAATTTCTTACATGATACGAAGTCTCCGCTTGAGATCTTTCCATTAAACATCAAAGCCAGAAGGTATTGGATATGACTAATCAATAATCAAGTTACTAGATATTTGTTAATTGCCCCGCTCTCTTTCGGTCTTCGAAGAACCTTGCAGCATGGATAAATTCATAAAGAATTTGCATTTGTAAATATACATATTGTCACTCATAATATCTAACTATGCATAAATATATCCAACAATCTCTTACATATTAATGGGTCCCTTCTAATACGAGACATTTATCTCATACAACAGATAGTACAGTGTCACAGTCCACATCAATTGAACGAGTCCATCTCCCAAATTTGTCAAGAAATTCAAACATCTAATGATAGCATAACATTCATGTAGTAATTATGTGAATCTACAATGTAGAGGTGGAAATTCTATCCTCAAGCATATCTTCATCTCAACTACAGCGTATTTACTTTCTACCAAAAAGCTCACTTATGTATATACCCCCCAACAGTAAAATTCGAACTAAAGTCAAAAAATAAAAAAATTCAGGCTTCAGGTTTTCCTACATTCACTTCTATAAAATCTTTGCACTAAGACCCCACAGTCTAGATATAATCTAAACCTGCATTTTCAGTAGCTAGAGCAATAACCTAAAAGCCAATACAAGTGTATCTGCAAAACAGAATTTCGATATGTATATCTCCTGTTCAACACCTACACCAAATTATATTAATTATTTCTGGCCGTCCTACTCTATTGAAACTGCTAGCTCAAAAAAAAAAAAATAATAATAACAATCCAAACAAAAATTCTGCACATACAACCCGCATTTTCAGAAAAAGAAAATAAGCAAAAAAAGACAGACAGATTTTATTCTTGCTTACATTATTCACACATAGGTAGCTCGCTTTTCATTTCTGGAATCGTGAATCTTCATGTGATGAATCTCACGATGATATGAATATGAATCTATGTGTATGATTCAATCGATCCCGGGACGAGTAATTGATCCGTGGGCGAAAGAAGTGACGACAAACCCTAAATTGCGCTGGAGTGTGATGAGCCCCTTTTATATAAACGGCGCACTTTATTATCTGGCGCCTTCTGCGTGTCCAAACAGTTATGGGCCTATGGCGAAAGGATATGATTATTCTTGGAACCAAACATCCTTTCATTTGTGATTTTTATTATTATTATTATTATTATTGTTGTTGTTGTTGTTGTTGTTGTTGTTGTTGTTTTGGTGGGGGTTGGGGATGATCGAAAATATAATAATCAAATAAAGAAAAATACTCATTTTTAAATACGTAAAATAAAATCTCTATAAAATACTATTGTTAGGGGATCGGACTCTGAAAAAACATTATTCTAGATGAATTATTAATTTACAAATAGATTACGTAAAAAAAAAAAAAATATTATTCTGGACGTCGAGTACCTCTTGAATTATCATAGTGAAAATGATATGATGATGAAATTGCCTACTGGTGAATATATTCAATGAGTACTTAATAATATAATCATGATTTAGATGATAGTTCTATTTTTTATTAATTGTTTCTCTAAAAGAAGTTATTAGAGTATCGCAACCTTAAATTATTACATTTCATAAAAATGAAAAATATATACAACATGCGCATTGCAAAAATTAGGGATAAAAAATTCCAACTGAAAATTATTATTGTTTAGGCAAAAATTATATATTTTTTGAACATTTATTTATTGAGATTTTATTGTAACTGAAAGCAAAATAAATTTACTCACATTTTAAGTTGATGTACAACATATGCATTTTTGTAAACTTTATTAAAAATTCAAAATTGTTTAGCTCATGAGAGGTTAAAAAAATTATAAATTAGTTATTAAATATCGTTCTAGTGCTAGTAAATTTGCATATATTCACTTTATACACTTCGAAGAAAATGTGATTTTTTTCTTAAATTTCAAAAAGCCACTAAACAATGAATGCTTTGTGATAAGTGCAATTTGTATATTTATTTATGTCACATTATTAAACTTTTAAATTTTCAAATTATTAATTTCTATTTAATTTAGGCGAATTTTCATTTTGTTTTTAGTGTTGGACTAATTTGAAACAAGTTGAAGTTTGACAAAGATATTGGCCGCACAAATAAAATTGTATCGAGGATTAACTTGCATTATTTGAAAGAAGTGAGGACTTGAGGAAAAAAATAATAATTGGACCTCAATTGGACCATGAATTGGAATCTGCTTTGGTTGATATATGAATATATACACAACAGTGGGCGGTTTAACAAAAAAGAAGGGAGGACACCGGAGGGAAAGATCAATTGGAATTGGTTTTGAGGAAAAACATTGGCAGCTGCTGGAGATTATCACATGCCAACTAGTGGGAATTACTGAAGTATTGCGACTGCCTGGGAAAGAAATAATTGAGGAAGAAGCCTTAGGAGAAAAATCTGTGTTTAATTTGAGAGCCATAGATACACGCAAAAATACAGACAGAAATTGGGGGAAAAAGAGGAAAAAAAGGACGCTGCCTTTATTTGCTGAATAAATACAAAACGGACAGAGAAGAATTGGGCTGCTTGTTGGAATTGGAGATGCAAACAATTAGGTGGCTGATTATATATATATATGTTGACACATAAAAATTCAGTTCAAATTGAACAGCCCAAGGAGTAAAGTCTAATTGGAGGATCCCCAAATCAGATAGCCCAAAGAACGAAGTCCAATCGAACGAATCAAGGTGAAGGCCCAAATAAGGGGCCCAAGGGTGCGGTAACGCCATCGCCCAAGTTTACAAGTCACCCAGAATCTGAACGAATGGAGCGTCATACGGTCGCCCAGAGCTGTTATTCTATTCTCGCCCAAACCTTCAAGTCGCCCAAGATATCAACAAACATAACGCATTGTGGTTATCAAGAAATGCAGTTATCAAGGCAGTTGTTAAAGTAGCCCTATCACGTTCCACAACTCAAGGAATTCAATCGAAGGCAGTTGAACGATGGAAGATAATGGCAGCAGTTAAAAGGCAGTTTCATGACAAATTGATCACTACAAAAAAAGTGGGTAGTTATAGGACGATCAAGCAGTTTTCAGAGTAGTTAATCACAAAGAGATCGTCTATGATGTATAAAAGGGAGAAAGGACGTAGAAGCAAAGGACCGAATCCAAAACTCTCGAACAGAGAAATATGTAATTTTTATTTCCTTAGCTTTTAGACTTAAATACTTTTCTTTCTGTAACTCGTGTACTTGCGCCCCTTGGAGGCACGTTGTTTTTTGTTTCCAATTGTAAAGTTCATCGCCAATAAAAGAACACCCCTTTTTGGGACTTTGTCTCAAGAGGTTTCGTCCCTTACACAATCGTCTGATCCTTTTTAATTGTTAGCGAATTAACCCGCACGAAACAATTTGGCACGCCCAGTGGGACAGTGGGGTTAGGTGTTGAAAATACAAAAGGAGAAACAATATGCCTCAAAGATCCGACAAGGAAGGAGCAAGTCAGGGAGGAATCCAGTCTGTAATCGAGCGATATGAGGAGCAGCATGCCTCTCCACGAACAGATGGACAAAATCAGAGTAGTAACAGTCGTTACGAACCAATGACGAAGCTGAGTCCTCGAACCATGCGTGCATTGCTTGGAGAACTCACGCAAGACGTCATTGAACAGGTAAATCTTCGAAGTATTCATAATATGGAAAGATTTACACAAAATGG